GTAGTGGTAGTGGTAGTGGTAGTCGCGCCAAGGCCTACCCATAGGCTGTCCTAGACTCTTAGACCCTTCCGCAAGGCCTACCCTAGCCTAGGGCGCGGGGCTTCTGTACCGTTGTACCGTTTGTCAGTGGAGGAGCGCCTACAGCCCAAGCAGGATTTGTAGGTTTATGTCATTTTGCATCAGGCTGTCCGAATGCTCGTCAAGGCCGCGCAGAAAGCCTTGGGTCGTTTGTTCTGCATTCCTGTCTCTCAGCCACAAGAGTTTTGGTGCCGCTGTGATGCTCTGCGAGACTTCAGAGAGGCTGGTGCCCAGACGCGCTTTCTGCTGGAAGACCTCCTGGAGCCTGCTACGAACCCTCCAGTCGCCAGGCCAGTGTGACGCCTTGCAAGATCAGCAAGTCAGCGCTTGCTTCGTGATCTCTTGCAGTCCCATCTTCAAGTCGGCCGCACAGCCAGCAAGGCCCCACTGGCATCCATTCTCCTTTGAGCCTAAAATGCCGAGAAAGTTGCCCGAAAGGACCTCGCCGAAATACAGTCTACAGGAGGGTGAGGTTGGTGAGATGGAAGACAGCGTAGATGACGAAAGCTTTACAAGCTGAGCCAAAGAATGGAGCTCAGCTGCCACCTCGGGTCAACGTGCTTCGGCTTCTGCGCGCTTATAGCGGTCACCACGGCTGAGGAAGTTACGAACTCCATTCGGCCTTCCCAACCTCATGACAACTAGACTCACTAGACAGCCTTCCAGATGTGTTGCCCGGCGATGGCCCTGCACAGAATTCGCGATCGTGTGACTGCTGGCGGCGCACTGTGAGAGTCCCAACTCGAAGCTTCGACATGCTCACTTCGTTTACACTTAGTGGGCAAGTTGTAGAAACGCAGTGGTAGACTGAGAGTGTTCACTGGTCCTTTTGCCTCAGGAGGATTTTTGTGCTAAAGCTTGTGAGACAGACACCTGCCAGCAGCTCCGCATAGTCTCACCGGAATCCAACACTTCTCCGACGATCTATCTTGGCCAAGGCCTCGACATTTCCGTGGACCTTTGAATCCTTGAAGGACTCAGTCGATGATGTCTGCCCGGCATCCGTGACCTTAGTCTGGGCGAACTGCCTGGGGAGACATCTGCTATCATCTACACCCCACAGACGTGCGACCCCCCCTCAATCAGAGACGACTCCCCAGTGACGGTTTGTCGAGAAAACCTTCGTTGCGTTTGACAAAGAAGGTCGGTGGCTGGTCGAATGCATATTTACTAGACTTAGCAGCATGAGCGCACGACTGGCAACCAGCCAAGTAGGACGGTAAATGATGGAACCATCATCCAGATGGAACTCTAAGTGGATGCACTTCTTTCTGAAGGTTGAGGGGGCATTCAACGTTACGTTCCAGCTCTGAGCTTTAGGGAAAGGCAACAGCTTCAGTGGCAACAGGGCACATGCCTCAACCTTCTGATCCCCGCTGCCCCTGCAAAATAGAGAGTACCCCAGGCCAGTGCGACTCTGAGTACAGCAGGTATCCCAAGAACTTATCTTCAAGCCCAGGAAAGCTCCTCCTTCCCGTGATTCGCCACAGCATATAGTCGACGGGAAGCGCCTTGAAGGAAACGCACAGTCTTGCTTGACAAGAGCTGTGTTGATAGGACCTCAAGCTGCATACGGCTACCTGCGGCAATGCATATAATAGTTTTGAGTAGGAGCATCGGAGACTCGTGCGAAAGCAAACGACCTCGTGCTTCGATACTACGAAGGAAAAGTCCATTCACGCAAAGCCGCATGGTTCCGAAAGAACAGAGCATTTTTTGAACTCACCGTGCTCACAGTAGCTCTACAGTCGCCATGTGCACAAACCTTTCAGAATTAGCAAGAACAGGAGGGCTTTACAAACTTACCCACTGAAGCCCTGCCTTACATGAGCGCGTATGTGTACAGAGACAGCCCTGTTTAGTCATGGGAAGCGGATGTTCCAAATCCACCGTGCACGCCATGCCGGACGCTGAGCAGCGACAAGTGTCGCAAGAGGAAGGTCGCGGCGATAAAGGCGACAGATGTTTGCGTGCTGCGGCTGCAACAAGCTCACTGCCGAACAGCCCAGAAGACGCCCATCTTGCAGCTCCATCGCTTGGACCGCTGGTAACAGCACTGGTTGCACAGAAATTGGAACACATTCTTCGGGAAGAGATTCCTCTCTGGGATGCCAACTGCAGTGCCTTCGGGAGGCTGCAGACGCAAGAGGAGACCGACCAGGATGCATCTGTGCACAAGAAAGCCAAGATTCACGGCCAGTTCCTAGCTCGCCTAGACAGTTATTTCCAGGACATAAGCATTCAAACACACATTGAGACAGCGGACATTGCACGGCTCTTGCACGATGAGGCTGCTCGGAGTGATGATGCGAAAGTAGTTGTTGAAAGGCTGCTCAAGTACACAGACTATCATGCTTTCGCAGAGCTTATGCACCGACACTACTGGGTCACCGTCAAGGAGGTGCGCCTTTTCTGGGACATCGAAAATGTCGGGTGGGACGAGATGCAACAGAACGGCCGAGAAGTTGTCAAAGCTCTACGTGATTTTTTGGATGCCCGGAACATCGGTGGTTTTGCAGCGCAGATGTGGGCAGTCGCTCCAACTTGGCGGTTTGCGGACAGTCCGCGCGTAGTTGACGATTTGGAAGACTCTGCTATACGAGCGGTGAACTGCAAATCCAAGCCCGAAGCCGCGGATCACGTGATCAAGGGTGAGATTGAAAAGGCTGCCTTGCTGTATGGGAAGTACGAGATTCCTGCGCATACCGTAGTGTTTGTCCTGATTACATCGGACCAAGACTTCACCGATGTCCTGCAGCGTCTCCAACACGCTGGGTATAAGACAGTGTTGATACACAATGCCAAGCAGGGCAGCAGGCACGTTGACATGATGTCGCTGTATGCAAGCCATGCTTTTAGTTGGAAAGAGGTTTTGCCCCACAGCTTTGCGAACCCACGCAAAGCTGAGAAAAGCGACTGGCAGAGACTCATCGACTGGGGTAGGGGCAGGGTGCATCCGCCAGTTTGGGTGAGTGGGAGAGAGGATGCAAGCGCGCATCTCTGGCGAATAGGCCTCCAGTTTGGCCGAGGCCGCATTCCCAACGAGATTTCTCTCTCTGAAGGAGAGACGAAAAATGGGGCTGCCGAGGCCGCCCTGGAATCTTTACACCGGCTCCTCGGGGAGCACTTCGAGGTGACCAGCCTCGAGCAGCGGGCTCTGCACACCCTGATGTCCCAAGCTCAAGCACAGGTGTGATGGCCGAGTGCCGAGCATTAGTTGAGCACCGGGGAATACCGGAGGGCCGCAAGGGAGTACACGTGAAACGTGTGCTGTCGCAAGTTTTAAAAGTTTAGCATGGTTGGTGCTGGGCCACCTCTGACTATCGCAAGCGGCATTCGGGGTGATTTGAATCCGTAAATTGTTTGTTTGTGTTGTATGCTCTTCTTGGGGAGTCGGCCCATGACAGGGCTCAGAGCCTAGCCAGCTTGAGCGGCGAAAGTCGCATTGACACTAGCGGCACTGTTTTCTGCTACAGCTCCAATCGTCCGCAGTGCTGCAGAAATGGGACCGATCGTTCCTGCACCGGAGTGCAGTGAGTGCATTCCAGCAACTGATGCCAGTGGCGAGATGTGATCATCCGATCCAGTTCCACCTGCCTCGAGGAGCAAGCAGTGCCTTCAAAGCCCATGATCCTTTGTAGCATGCACAAACTAGTGACGTGACACAGACACAGATACACGGATCCACGCCGTCATTATCCAGCCACCAGCAGCTTGACGAGCAGCGAACTTGCAAAAATGCAAGCGAATGGCTCTGAGGAGCCAGTGTGTCTCAAGGCAGGGGGGATTCCTTCTATTGGACTCTTGCAAGATGCTTGCAGGAGGATTATCGGAAGCAGGTGGTTCTTGTGTGTCCCGAAGGGACAGAGGGTAGTGTCGATGATTTGGCATACACGGGTTTGTGGAGCCGCCCGTTCCTTCAGTCGCAACCAGCAGCCAGGAGGTAGGCTTTGTCAGAGCTGCTGCCCTGCAGGTGCCGGTGACGATCCTCACCGGCTTTCTAGGTGCAGGGAAGACGGTCGCAACCTTAGGTCTGCTTCACCCGGATTAGTGGCGGCAGCCCTGCCATTTTCCGAGCGAGGCCCGGCTAAATGCAAGCCTGCGGGAGGGTCGCAGCCGTGCTTGGCGCTTGGAGCGAAGCTGAAAAACGGCAAGGGCTCATTTGTTGGTATCCACGCGGCACACAAGATCGCCGTCATCGAGAATGAGATCGGGTCGCTGGGTGTGGATGGGGCGCTGGTGGCCAACGCTCATGCCGAGGCGCAGGGCTGACTTGGTAGCTTTTCAACCTTGTGTTTCGTTTTTGTCTGCCCGGAGGCCGATGGTGTGATTGAGCTGGCAAACGGTGTGCCTCCGAGACGCCTTAGGTGCTTGAACCTTTTGCCCAGAGTTGTTGGAGAGAGCGCGAACTTGCCGAAGCACTCTCCAAAGCAAGCCTCAGCTCCAGAGTCAAGCGCCGTGTTTCGCAGCGACTGAAGGCTGCCTGTGCTGCTCCGCAGAGGTGGACCTCATCGCTGCTTTAGAGGCGCCCGGAAGGTTCCGGGCTCCAGGCACGAAGAGAGAACATGGCAGGCACTGATCCACCGGCATCGAAACCAAGCCGTGGACCGGATTCTCATCGAGACCACCGGCCTGGCCGATGTCGGGCCCGTCTGGGCCCCGGCGAAGAGCCCTTTGTTTGCAAAGCCATCAGTGGCTGCGAGCGCGAGCATGGAGGTGATTTCGCTCTTGGAGGATGCCAAAGATCCACTGGCCGAGGAGTCCTTCTTGGAGAAGTAAAGCCTATATGGTCCGTGATGACAACGTTGCCATGATCTTGTGCAAAGGACCTCTACTTAGATGGAGTTGTGACGGTTGCTGGGATCTTGGAGTGCAGAAGCTGCTTGAGCAAACTGTGTCGGTGTCATGGCGCCACCCAATTCAGCTGAGCCAGACGCTGCATAGCCGTGTACCCCCAGGGAGCAGATGTCGCCGCTGGGAGTGCAACGCCTTAGGTGGATATCAACACCTTGCACAAATGGGCTCCCAGGGGCGTTCCAGGCCCGCCCACTTCAACAACGTCGAAGAGTGCCTGTGGCTGTATCTGAGACAGGGAGCCATGAACAAGGCGCCGATGACATGCCTTTCCCTTCATGGTCAGGCGCCAAAGTACTGAAAGTGGCACGAAGCCAAAGCCACCTTCCCCGGTTGTGTCGGTCCGTGCTGAGGTCTAGCGGGTTCGGCTACAGCTCCGGTATTCCGCAGGCGACCTTTGCACATGTTCGGCCGATGCACCGCGCGGTTCACTCTTCTTTCGCCAAGGTGATAATCGCACTGTGAAGGGGATCGCAGAATCCGACAGACAGCGCCCCAACTGCAGGTGCTAAGTCTCGGCAAAGCCGCGGTGCTGAAGACTTTTTGGCGCCAGGCCACAGCTACAGATCGGGCAAACCGGGCGTTTCAGTTTGGACGGCTATGCCGAGTGATGTCAGAGCTCTCCGCACACACAGTGTTTTCTGAATGGGGAAGTGCCCAACTGCGGAGCATGATGGGTGGTGCTTCGGCGCTGTCCTGGCGTGTCCATTAAGAAAATATCAGGTGGCGAGATGTGGCGGGACCATTCCACTTTCGAGAGCCGCTTCCCGATCGCATGGTTGCAGGTTGCCTTCGCCGACCAGATCATTCTCAGCAAGGTAAAGCTCATATCTTCAGGGTTATTGAGGTAGTCTGTGCTGTGGGGTGAGTTCTGTTTCAACTACAATATCGTTTCTCCTGCTCCAAACCTGGCAGTGCGATCTGGCGAGCGCTGCGGTGGAGGAATTTGCTACCTTGCTGGAGAACGTGAATCCACTCGCCGAGGCTTCCTGCGAGAAAGTCGGGGTGTGCAGGGCTTGAAGCTGAGATCAGGTGCTTCGACCTTCGGATTCATCGCTCCCACCGCTTCCCCCGACGGGTCCTGAGCTTCCAGCTCAACGTCTTAGCTTCCGCTTTCACAGCTGAGCTACTGGGCTGGGCAGCTGCTGTATAGCTGTATCAACGCAGGCTGCGCCGTCGACCGGCAGTAGGCCGGGCCTTGGCAGGGACTGAGCTTTTTCGGCCTTGAGCCGAAGTCGCCTCTTTGAGGTCAACGCCCATCGCCAGCTCCGGCTTCTTTCTGCGGCGCAACGGTGCCAAAGCTTCGGACAGCCGGGGCCTCAGGGCCTCAGGGTTTTTGAACCTCTCGCATTTCTTCTTCATGCAGCACCTTTTGCCGCTCGCAGACATGAAGGCATACATGCCGCAAGAAGCAGCGCAGCACTCCCAGGGATATGCATCAAAGAACCAGGCGAAGCCAGTCACCGGCAGAGTTTACATGAATTTAGCCTCCGGAAGCCTCTTCCCGAAATGGGCGATGCAACAGACTGGTCAGCTGTTCTGGACGCACTTCTGAAGGAAGTTTGCGAGGACGAAGCTTGCAAAAAATTGCTGGACGATTTGCTTGGCTACGCCGTCTATGCGGTCACAAAGCACGAGGCAGACATCAAGGACACACTCAAGAACCGGATAAAGGCAGGACTGCAAATTCCTTCTGGCTGACCTGGGCGCTTAACTCACACAAGCCCTGCGGCACCCTGGAGGTCAGGCGTTGGCCCGTCGATGCTTCCGGAACACTCGAAGTCGATGTCATTTGGCCAGGACGGATGCTGACTCCGAAAATGAAACCCAGAACAGAAGCTTCCTCGCTTCCTCGTCCCTGAGGCGCGGGCTACAACTCGGTCGCCTGCGGCGGGAGCTTTGCCGTCCTGTCGCTCATAGAGCCACTTGGTCTTTCATGCAACACTGGTGGTGTAGCAGTAGTGGTGCTCGTAGCGGAAACTCGTCGTCGTCGAAGTGGTGGTAGTGGTGGTGGTTCTTGGATGCTGGGAGCCACAGCCCTTCTGCCAGGGCCTGGGGCCTCCTCCGCGTGCGGGACATTGTGGGCGCCAGCGGGGGCGCGGCGAGCGCCATCCTGGCCTTGGCGGACGCGGAGAGGAGCAGCAGGACAGGAGCATTTCGAGGGGCGTCTCTAAGTACCGGCTATAGGTGGTGATGAAGCGAAATTCCAGGACTCTGCTGACCTACTACATGGTCTATGCCAAATGGACAGAGCAGACACCACGCGCATCCTTGCGCCAGCTTTGGCGAACTACACCCCTCTGGGCACAAATCTACCGCGACCTGGGCTGTCTCAGCACATTTCTGTGCACATTCATCCTATCAAATCGCATTCCATCCGTTTAGTAGTCCAAGGTCCAAGACTTGTTAACAGTAGGACTTAATTGCTTTGGTCAGGTAGTAAATCGTCAGGCTTTTGAACTTTGGTCTCGCGCCCTTCCCCAGTTTGCTTTGCTTGCGCTGCTTGATTCGCTTCGTGAACAAGTGAGCCTTCCGCTCAGGAAAGGTAATCCAAGACGACGCAGCTTTCGAGCGAGTGCGGCAGCGTGGATATGTAGCAGTCGCTGCCGGACGGACCGTGTTCCAGTGGCAGAATTGGATTCTGCACCACTTTGCCAACCGAGAGCAGTGTGTGCAGGCCTACGAGGCCAGTGGAGAGGCACGGGGCCGGCAAAAGACCGAAGACTGGGAGGCTCTGTTCAAATTGCAGAGCCCTGACAGGCTTCTCTTTCCGGAGCCTTTGTCGGACGGGAAATCGATGGGCTCAAGCGGCTTGGGCGCTGTTGTGATGGAGGTGGCAGGGGCGCACGATTTAGACTTTGTGTGTATTTTCTGGTCTGAAGAAGCATGAAGAAGCCGATGCGTTTTGCAACAGCCGTCCAGTCAAGGTGGAGTGCTTCCGTTTCCAGGCCGTGAGAAGAAGGTGGCAATGTACCATCACACGTTTTATGGGTCTGCTACGGCGTGCACCATGGAAACGATAGAGAAGCTGTTCCGGAAAGGTGTTGATGACACCATTACTATGCTCTGCGACTCCTACGACACCTGCAAGTTTCGCACTCTGGAGTATGGAGGGGCTATCCTTGGCTTCGGAAGCGAAATAGCGTGGGACAGTGGCAGCCCATCAGGCTTGCGCGCTGCTGCGCGATATTTGAATGCTGAGAGGGATGATGAGGAAGCCGAACTGCCCTGACTGTCAAGAAAAGGAGTTGAATCGATACGCTTGAGCTCGTCACACAATCTTTTTGGTACCGGGTCGGACTCTCCCGTCTTAAGAGCTGCTGAGTTGCTGGTCGCTCCTCC